TCTAACACTGAACCCTGCCCCTAGCCCAACAAAGTCTTAGCACAGTGGTCTATCCCACAGCACTCATCAGCTGCTCCTTCTTTACTCCCATTTCAGAGGCCAGTGTTTCCTATGCAACTTTGACTCTCTGCGTTTCTACGACAAGCATGTCACCCAGAAACTGACCAACACTATTTCTTTCTGCTGAGGAACATCTGCAGTGCAGTTCCTGGGCAGCCAGTCAGGCCACTCCCACCCACAGTTTAGGCTGCCTCAGTGCATGTCCCATGGTCAAAATGTGAGCCTTCAATCTCAGCGCTACAGGCATTCAAGACCAGAAAATCTGAGTTGCAGGGAGCTGCCCTATGTGCTGTGGGATCCTGAATGATGTCCTTAGCTCTGTCTGTCATGAGCTCACTACATGGAGCAAACTGGTTTTGAACTCACTCATTGGGTCTTAATTTGCATTTCTCATGATTAAAGATTTTGATCATGCTTTCTGGTGCTTTCTCATCCATATATCTTCTTTTCAGCCTGACCCGTGATGCATTTAAAATATTGAATTGTCTTATAATTGGCTTAGAGAGCTGTTTATATATTCTAGAAGCACATCCTTTGTCATCATATATGTGATTGCTGGCTCACCTTTTCATACTCTTGACAGTGTTTTCCAGAGAATATACTTGTTACTTTTGGAACAATTGAATTATCTTTTTTCTTTTATGAATCATATTTTGTTGTTAAATCTTTAAAATCCATTTTTTTCTTCTGTAAATTTTATAGACTAAATTAAGCATTTTTTTTTTTTTTTACAAAAAGCTGTTTTTTTTTTTCTAATTTAAATAGAACTTGCCTGGTATAAGTGACTCATGTCCTTCATTCCAGCACTCAAGAGGTAGAAGTAGGAGAATCAGAAGTTCAAAGTTCAAGTTTATCCTCAGCTACAAAGTCAGTTCAAGGTCAGCCTTGATTACTAAAGACTCTTTGTCAACACCTTTCCTCAATTAAGAAAAAAATAGTGATTCATTCTTTCTGTGTTTTTTTTTTTCTTTAAATACAGGGTCTGCTAAGTATATTCATTGGAACCTACAGAGAGACTGCTTTAAAATGCTAGAAGGGGATACTTTCCCCTCTTTAGTATTTGTTTTCTTTAAACATCAACCAACAGTCCATGATCTAATAGTGCAGGTCAACATTGTTGCAAAATATTTGTTTACACTGTGACCTATGGGTCTTTGCGGTGGCACCTTCTGATTGGTTCAATAAAGAGTTGACTGGCCAATATCTAGACAGGAAGAGGTGAGGTAGGACTCTAGAGACAGAGAAGACTCTGCCAGGCACAGAGAGGAAATGGGAGGTGTAAGATGGAAGAGTGGAAACTATGGCAGAATATAGATTTAAAAATATGGGTTAATTTAAGTTATAAGAGCTAGTTGAGACAAGCCTAAGCTATAGGCCAAGCTTCTATAATTAATAAGTCTCCATGTCATTATTTGGAGCTGACTGGAGGGACAGAGAAAGACTTGTTACACAACCTGCCTGACACTGAGGTTTTCATGAATTTGGTATTATGCTAGCCCCAGATAGCCTCTCCAAAAGACGCCCCCCCCCTTATGTCTTTTTGATAGAGGAGGGCACTGAGTTGATCGTAGGGTGATCTGTTCTGTGTGGGTCAGTTGAAGAAAGATGTCACTCCAAGATGCACTTTTAGGACAGTGTGGCAGCAGAGAGGTGCAGCCACTGGCAGATTGACTGTAGACTCAATAAACAGCCGTACAAAGGCATATTTATTGATTGTTACACAACGTTGTCTTTTGGGCAAACAAGTTTCTCATGCCAAAGCCCCTGATCTAATCTGTATGTTTTTCTGAAGGAGAGTATCTCGTCCCTGCTACCTTAGTCCTCACAGTACCCAGTGATTCAAGAGCTTCGTTCAAGTGTGCCAGAAGCATCTGGTGACCAAAGCCATGCAAAGGCTGCAAAGCCAGAAAAACAAGTACTGTTTCCACCACGATTCCTTCAAGGTTAAAGTACTTCTGGAAAACAACTCTTCTGTTGTGTTTACCCTGGACAGAGTGACTTGCTAGATCCCCACAGCTGTTTCCAGACGCGAGGAGGGCTGGAAACGGCAGAGGCATTCACACCTAGGTTTAAGAGACCACTATCATGTTCTATCTCCTTTGCCCTCACTGCCACACAGGTTATATTGGACTCTGTAATCTTGGGAGCATTGATAGGTTTGCCTGTGTAAAAATCCAGTCTAGGTTTCCAGAAGAGAAACGGTTTGTCATCTATATTGAGGTTAAATACTCTCTAGAAAGTCATTTAGACAAGGTAGGTTTATCAGAGACTGACATGGTTTGGGACATGAAAAGCCCAATAGCTCAGTTCAAAGGTTCCCAGAGGCTCTATAACCCGTTACCACGTTCATTTCCTAAAGCCCAAGAATGGTCTATTGCCACTACCAATATACACAGAGATATAAAAAAAAAAAACCCACTTACTACCTCCTAGTCACATAAAGTATGTTCGTATGTTGTCTTATTAAATATGCAGGCCTGTTGCCACGACTATCTGCCAGTATAGACAGGGCTGCGCTGGGGAAAGTAGTAACTGTGAAGATATTTGTAGCTTAGCACAAAAATGTTTATTCTTTGCTCACACACAATTTCTCGTGGGTGGATATGACTCCAAGGGCTGAGAACTCACAGACACCGACTGCCCCTGGGTTTAGGCAGCTCCATTCAACACAAGACTCCTGACCCCAATCGCTGTGACAGAACAGAAGAGAGACTCGATAATCACAAATCACACTTGACCGCTTCAGCCTACGGATGCCTCGTCATTTCTGCTAACATTTCATTAGTCACCACAGTCACAGGGCCCTGCTTACTTGAAAGGGCAGCTGAGAGATACTGCTTTCTGTGTGCCTAGAAGAAGAGAAGGAGATGCTGTCAACATCAGTAACGTCTGCATAACAAAGCATGGGCTACATCTTTCATATAGGCACAAGAGAAGCCACTGAGAAATACAGAACTGCTGTCCCAGGATGGGGCGTCAGGAGCCATAGGGATTCTCTTCTCTGCAGGCTTTCTCTTCTCTCTCCCTTCAGGAAAAGCCACATAAGTGCATGGGGATGCGATGTGAGGGGCAGGAGGAAGGAAAGGAAAACACAGGGACTCCATCTTACCCACCACTTTGCTCGTATCTGAAAATCTTATTCCGTCTTTTTTTTTTTTTCTTCCTACACAGGACCCTTCCTGCTTTTTAACAAATGGCCAAGAGTATTCAAATCTTGAGAATTCTTCTGCACACAGGTGAAGAGATAAAAGGAAATAAGTTTTAGTGCTGTTTTAGACCTCCCAGTTGAGAACTATCAGGAACAAAACTGTGCTGTGTCTAAGCTGCTCAGTATAGGGCCTTCTGTCACAGCAGCCCCAACGAACCAGGACAGCTCCTCTCAGGAACTCTGTGCTCTTTGACCTGTTGGGGCCCAATTCCAGACAAATCGCTGAACTTTTGAAAAAACTTTCAACAGGAAACTATTATGACATAACATTTTTATTTGATGACTCTAATATCCTGCCTATCTCACATGCTCTTCTTACCAGTGACTGAGGGCTGCCTGTTAAAATGTAGTGTGCTTTTGTGGCTGCGTCCACAAATCTGCTCCAGTGGACACGGATGCCACGTAGATTCTGAGATAGGTTACAAAAATGAATGCAGCCTTTGCCGTGTCCTCTCGCTATTACTCTCTTGGGATGCTCGCTTGAAGAACTGAGCTGCCTGTGAGGGAGGTGAGCAGCCACACGTGGAGAATTCAGGGGACAGTTGCAGCTGAGTTCTAAGTGACAGCCCACATATCTCCTACCAGCTGCCAAGGGCCTCCATATTCCAGACTCGGCGGCTGACTGAGCTACTGGCAAGATACATTGTTTAAGCCACTCAATCTGTGAGTTTGCTGTGCGGTACGCGGAGAGTATAAGGCAGCGTATTTAAGTAATATCCAAGCTCCTCTACCACATATAAATCTCTCCCTTGACTCGTCACTGTAGTCAGTGGGAAATTCACCTAAGACGTAACTGTAAAGTTGATACCGCCTTGTCCTTGGTTCAATATTTTCTTAAGGCAAGCAATCCTCAAATTTGGAAATCAAGGTGACCTTAGCTGATTTTGTGTGTGTGTGTGTGTGTGAAAGGTCTCACATAATTTACAATACAGCAAATTCCTGATCCCCCTGACTCCACCTGCAATGCTCTGGGATTACAGGCATGCACTACCATTGCCCGACTCATTTTTCCATTTTTTTTCCTCCCTCGATCCCTCCGGCATATCTTTCCTTTCCCCCCCATTTCACTCTTCCTACTTTACTCTTTGTTCTTGTTTGCCTCCTTTATCCCAACTCCCCAGCGCTTTTGCATCAGTCTGCAGGAAGCCGCCTCCAACTCTTCATTGTTGGATCCATTAGCAGTGCCGATTGCAGAGGCGAAGCTCAAGGACAGGGCCGAGGGAACCATCAGTGGGTTCCCCTATTCCACCTTTCTTCCCAGGTTTCGGCTTGATTGAGGACCCAGAGGCTGGGCTCCCTGCCCAGGTGGCAGTGGCAAGTGACTAAGAAGAGCCGGGCAGGCATCTCTTCTGATGCCGCTGGGGGCAGTAACCACAGCCGTGAACGCAGTGCAGCTGGGAGCGCGTTCTCCAGAAGCCAGACACTGAAACTGCGCGCCTCCCACGCTCCCCGCGACGAAGTCACGCTCCACCGGGGTAAAATGGCGCCGTCCCTTTAGCAGCGTGAGGGGGCGGGTCGCGAGTCACGTGACCTCGCTTGCCCGCGGCGCGGCCCCGACTGCCCCAGGCACGCGCTGGGAGTCTCGCGGCCGAGTGAGCGAGCAAGCCGCATCCGCTACCCCGTGTCCTCGCTGGTCTCGGCTAGGTCACGACAATCTGTCCCACCCACGAACCGACCCTAGGCGTGAGGCCAAGGGTGGGGGCGGCGTGCGGAGGCAAAGGGGCTGCAGAGCTGGTTCCCGGGGTTCAGGTTGCCTTGGGGAGGCGGGGAGATCGCAGCCCCGCAACCCAGGCTGACCGTCCCGGTGTCCTGGCGCCCGGCCGAGTGTGCGGGGCCCCGCTGTGGACCCTCAGGGCCTCCAACCCAAGTCTTGACTGCCCACGGGGTCTAGCCCTCACCCTCCCAGCTACGGTCACTAGGCTGGGGGCATTTCTTGGGGTTCTCACCGCCCTAGCCTCGAAGCCAGTAGCCTTGATATAGCATCAGCCAGGTGCTCCCATCTCTGTAGGGACAGGGGACCAGAGCGTGCGTGGGTCCTCCGCAGCCACCGATGTCTCTGCAGGGTGGGCTTGGCCGCGGTGCCCTCCCCACCCTCGGGAGGAGGGCCCAGCGATGCGCTGTGACCGTGCCGCCTCCATGTGGCTGCTGACGGACCCAGGGGGGGAGCAGGCATGGGGCGCGGCCGCGCCTCCCTCCCACCCCTCCTCGCGGACGGACTGCTGGCTAGGCTATGAGCAGACGTGAGGGGCCAGCCGCCCGCCCGGCTCTGCAGGACGCTGCTTGGCTCCCGCGCGTCGGTCCCACAGCGCCCAGAGCAGGAGCGGCTGTGCGCGGGGCTCCGAGGCCGGGCGGGCGAGCGCAAGCCCCTAGCTTCGCTATGGGGCACAACAACAGCTGGGTGTCGCTTAACACCAGCCACCCGCGCAACACGTCGGGCGCTGAGGCTGGCGCCAACCGCAGCGCCCTCGGGGAGCTGAGCGAAGCGCATCTGTACCGCCAGTTCACAATCACCGTGCAGGTCATCATCTTCATCGGTTCGCTGCTCGGTAAGCCACCCCGTGGGGACACCAGCCAGGCCGGTCTTCCCCGAGGGCACAAGAGCCGCCGTGGGGTACGGGGTGCTTGGCCTTGTGTGGGGAGTTGAAGGAGGTTGAAGAATGCCCCGGTGACTGCCCTGAAGTTAGTGAGGGCGGTCGCCTCCAGCACGGAGACTGGGAGCAGAAGAGTTGGGACAGGGCTTCTCTTGGCTTGGAGGATGGTAGGGGATTCTGGCAGAAGACCTGTCCACATAGCTAGCCTTAGTCCAATGCTTCGGGCTCCGCGCATCACTACCTATCTCCTGGTGCCCCAGCATCGCTGCCTCTAGCCCTTGTTTACAAATAGGAGCTAAGATTCCGTGGGAATTTGTTGCTGATGAAGGAATGTTACTCTCTCAATGAAAGATGATGTGTTTTTGCGTTACCATCTGTTTCCTATGTATGATAATTATTTTTGAAAGAGTTCTATTTTGCGTGTCAGTTTTGGCTTTATTCTTAGGATCACAGACCGGGTAAAAGAGCCGGTGAAGTTAAACTTTATATTGCCTTCAGATAATTCCCGAGAACGATATCCATTCTACTTCTCTACCTGTGTTTTAAGTGCAGGAGGAGAGAGAGAGAGAGAGAGAGAGAGAGAGAGAGAGAGAAAGCTCAAACCACACGCAATAGTTTTTTTCTCCCTTATTAAGAGGGGATTAAAAATTGAACAAAATGCCCCCCCCCCAATTACAGAGCACTGAATCAGTTTTCAAAAAGAGCTGGAGGACCTAAGAAGGACATTACTGTCCGTGTGATTTCTTTGTAAAATGTGTGAGGGTTAGCGTGAGAATCACCTGTTCTTCGATCCCCTCTTAAATGGTACTTGTTCTTTAGGGTTACTCTTTAAACAATCAACAGTACAGTCAACACAGCTTTCCACTGAGGTTTGGCAAACTTAGTTGATACTAGCAAGCGTGTGTAAATTCTCTGTTGTGGCATTTATAAGAACGTGAAAAGATTACAATTTATGTGTGGATGCTGTGAAGATGAGAAGTCAAAGTTTCAAAGTCAGAATAGATTTTATTTCCTAGACACTTGGAAATTTCCATGGAAACCAAGATAGCTGAGATATTAAAAGACCATATTTGGAAAAAAACTAATTTTTGGAATTTCCTTTCATGCTTTCTCAAATTGTCATCTTTCTAGTCTACTCTGTTGTAATAGTAACCATCCAGTCTATGTCATGAGGGCATTTTCAGGTCTAGACGTCTGTGTGACTTTGTCTAGATGTGTGTTTTCAAGTGTTAAATACTCATTTAGAAAATAAAACCCTATGCTCCAAATATTTCCAAGATTCATTTAACAATCACTATCTAAGCATTTACTATGCAAGGTACTGTACAAAGGGTTAAATTCCGATATCGCTTCACTTAAAATGTATGTTTAAAAAAGGCAGGTAAACGTACTGGCTTTGTGGGAGCCTAGGCAGTTTGGATGCTCACCTTACTAGACCTGGATGGAGGTGGGTGGTCCTTGGACTTCCCACAGGGCAGGGAACTCTGATTGCTCTTCCGGCTGACGAGGGAGGGAGATTTGATTGGGGGAGGGGGAGGGAAATGGGAGGCGGTAGCGGGGAGGAGGCAGATATCTTTAATAAATAAATAAATAAATTTAAAAAGATAAATAAAAAAATTAAAAAGGCAGGAAAAATGACTGGGTTTTCCAGATGTATTCTCCCTCCTAATATACAGAGGAACATATGAATATGTTTCCCCTATGCAACTTTGGTGTTGAGAGAAGTAGTATTGAGAGAAATATTTTTCATGGACTGAATCTAAAAAGTTAAGTATTAATGGAATAGAAGATAGCAGTCTCTGAAAGTCACAGTGGGCATTTAAATGTTATTTCTGCTATCTGTGTTTTTCTCATTTCTGTCTTTGCTTTGGATTCAGGAATTCCTAGGTAACCTGCTTTTATTTCCGTTATTTTTCCCATAGTACTTGTGAACAAAATGCAAGACTGCCTTCATGGATAGCTCTTAAAAAAGAGATTCATTTTCCCCAGATCTTTGATTATTCCTGACTGGACCTATGAGAATTCCATTTGCTCTATTCTATTTTCAGAAAAATATAAATATAGTTAACATTTCGTGTTTCCTTGAAAACATAGCTGAACCATAATACTGTCCTGTGAGCTTATTCCTTGTGGGTGTTCTTGATTCATTGCTCTAGAAGGTTCTGATCCATTCAAACATATTAGTGTATGTGCAGGTTTTTCTGGAAATGAAATTTGAGGCTTAACACTTAAGCTCCAAAGCTATGTCCAGTTATATGCAAGGCAAGTCCACTTGGGAATATAGCTCCAAAGTTCACAAATAGAGGAGAGTCATAGTAGGGAAGTAGGAGGAAGGTGAAATCGTGGGAGGATGGTGTATGTCTAATGAAAGATTAACCGTGATTTACTGCACTTTCTTCCTATCCCTAAACACAGGCAAATGAGTTGTTCTTCACTCTTTCTCTTTAAACAAATACAAACACTCCTTTTTCACCCTCCAAATCGATGTCTCTTTCCTAGGCTTTCAGAGACCCAGTAGTATGTGGGAATACATTCCTGGCACTGCTATCCTGCAGAACTTTAAACACTTTTTCAGTGCTCTGTAACTGGAAAAATGTCCCAACACCTCGGAATAACTGTAGTATTTTACTCATAGGGAACATTATTTATTGTGCTGAGAATAGCTCAAGAATTATATATATTGTTAAATAAATATGCCTCTTGGGGATCTGAGTAAATGAGTCTTTCTCAGCCTTCATTATGCAACAGCTATGGACACCTCCAGTTACGTAGGTGTCCTGGAAGAGAGTCAGATAATTATGTCCTTTAATAGATGACTCACACCCCTGCTAGAAGTCAACAATGGGAAGTCAAAGACTTGGATCTGGAGTCACCATTTCCAATAAGGCTGAACTCTGCCGGTTCCGGCATGGTCGCTCATGCCTTTAATCCCAGCACTCTGAAGACAGAGGCAGGCAGGTCTGTAGGTTTGAGGCTAGCCTGGTCTACAGAGGGAGTTCCAGGACGGCCAGGGCTACTCAGAGAAACCCTGCCTTGAAAAACAAACAAACAATCAAACAAACAACTAAACTCCACAGGACTGATCTTTCTTTTTCCTAATCTCCTTGGATTCACAATGAAAATACCCACAGAGCTACTTTTCTGTTTGTTGCTTTGGCTTAGAAAGGTTAGTAGCTATGACCGACTTTTACCACTAAGCCACTCCTACACTTATCACCTGTACCTGTCATCCTTGGAGGCATGGAAGACATTTTTATAAATGAACTTCCCATTAAAGAAAGTCACCAATGTGAACAATAGCCAACATGTAAATATTCTACACTAAAATTTATCTTAAAATATTTTAAAACATGGAGATCAGCCTCTTCCTCTTGCCAAGCCAATACGTATAAAGCATTCTAATTTTTTACGTTGACCTCCTTTCCCAGCTGTTATGCACTGAATATTGCTGGATGCAGCCTCCTGCTTTCCTGTGTTGCAGATCTAACCCCGTGTGATGGTCTTTAGGAAGTGGACCTTTTGGAGGAAGTGTAGATGAGGTCAAGGTTAGTGCCAAGGAGCTCACAGACTGTCTCTCCATCTTGTGAAGATGCAGCAGGAAGGTAGTTGTCTGCAAGTTAGAAAGAGGCCCTTCCTCAGAACCTGCCCACACTGGCATCTCATCTGGGACTTCCTAGCTTCCAGAGCTGTAGAAATAAATGTTGTTCAAGCCACCCAGTATGTGGGTTTTTTGTTTGTTTGTTTGTTTGTTTTGAGACATGGTTTCTTTATGTGGCCCTGACTGTCCCCAAACTCACTATGTAGACCAGCGTGCCTCAAATCTAGAGATCTTCCTCCTGCCTCTGCCTCCCAAGTGCTGGGACTAAAGGTGTGTACTACCATGCTTGACTGTGTGTTCGTTTTTTTGATAACAGCCTTTATAGGCCACTATACTTACAGTGGTATATAGTGAGTCACTGTGAAACTGATGACCACCAGGAAAAGGTTCTCCATCACTTTTTGTCTTATTCTTTCAAAGCAGGTTTCTCACTGAACCTGCAGCTAGGCTATTGGCTGGGAAACCCTAGCTATCTTCCCATCACTGCCCCCCACCCCCGCGCCGCATCACTAGGATTACACCTTGGCCTTTTGCACAAGTACTGGGATCTGAACTCAGGTCCTCATGCTTGCAGAGTAAACACTCATACCCACTGAGCCATCTCTATAACCCTAAAATATGGAGAGAAGGCAGATGTTTCTCAGTTAGCTAGCATGCTTACCTAGCATGTAAGAAACCGTTGGCTTGCTTCGAAGAAATGGGGATGGGACAAGGGGTGGAAGGGAAGAAGGGAATGGGCTTGTTAACAGATAGATGAAATCTATATATAAATATATAAACACCATTTTGCCTCAAAAAATCACATGGCATACCAACAATGTTCATGATACTTTAAAGAGACATGTATTTGTGCCTTTGATACTAGCTAGATAATTATTAAGAGTTTCCTAGCTAAATGTTGACAGGTGATATATTACGCTAGCTTGTGTTCATAATTTGTAATTATACAGAATAATTTTTAGTTAACCATAATTATAGACATTAGTAATATAATACCAGCTACCTTACATCTATATGCTGTTTTTGTTTTGGCATGTCTAAAAACCTGGAGAGATGACATAGAAAGATAAGGTATCATAGTCAGCTGTGGTGTTACACACTTATAATCTCAGCATTTGGATGGTAGAGGCAGGAAGATCAGGAGTTCAAGGTCAGCCTTAGCTAAGGTAGTGAGTTCAAGACCAGACTGAGCTGTACAAGATCCTGTCTTAACACATACAACACACACACACACACACACACACACACACACACACACACACACAGAGAGAGAGAGAGAGAGAGAGAGAGAGAGAGAGAGAGAGAGAGAATAAGGTTTATCCTAAGCTGCCCTAAAGGGTCAGGCCATAGCAGGGTC